CGATTTGTGTTGTCCTTATGGCATGACTTCAGCACAGGCCTTCCTAAACTCACTAATGAATGAAGATATCCATCCAAATAGTTCCTGAGAGTCTAGGTCTTGTGGCTCCCCAAATTTTACCTGTAAATTTGAAAGAGAAGAATATTTAACATTAGTATATCCAAGTAATCTAAACCATGTCCAGGATCTTAATGAAGTTAAAAGAGCAAGAGAAAAGTTAAATACCTTCTAATAATAATAACTAGAAAACTTAGAGCTGGCTAAAATCTCCAGCAAGCTGAGATCCAAAACGTCTCAAGTAAAAGTGACCCCAGGAGTTGTCACTGAATTACCTCAGTAACCTGGGTTTCTGTGTAACCCTGTCTCTCTGGCTGGACTATAGATCTTCAGCTGAAGAGGAGGAAAAACAGTAAATCATGAAGCTTCCTTGCTCTGCAGTTTGTGGATGAGCCCATTCATAAATGAAAATGTGTACTTTAGAGAAATGGTTTATATTCCACAGTGGGCATGGTAGCAGCATGTTCAAGCCAAAAAGTTTTCCTTTTCTGTCATTTTGCTTTGCAAACAAACAAAAATATTCATAGGGAAGCAAACGTTTTTGGGAGAAAAAGTAATTTATCAAAGAGCCACCTTTCCCTGTTCTCTTCTTTCCTTCACCTGAAAAAGGTGAACGGATGGAAAGTTTTTGAAAAAGACGTGAACAATATTGTCATCATGTCTACTTCGCTATAAAACAAGAGGTGAAAGGCAGTCATACTACAAAGTTCAGTACTAGGAGAGGTATTCCTGCGTTAACTAAAATCACTTCCACATAGGTTCTCCAGTTCTAGGACAGGAAAGGATTTTTGATATTAAATCTGTTGCTAAGGTTTAATTCAAGAGGTTTGTCATAATTTTCAAAGATTCCTCCTTAATGGGATCAATAAGTTAAAGAACATAACTCTGCCTGCAACGGCTTTTTAATTGAGCAGAACAAATCTAGAGAACATGCTCCAAAGGCTTCATCAAAAAGTTTTAAAAGGCGTCTTGTGTTGCTACAAGTTCTTATCTTGGCTGTAATTGAGAGCTACTCTGTAATTGGGGGATACAGCTCTCCCAAGGCTGAAGAGCAATGTAGTTGTATTTCAGTATTTCAGATTGCAGCTGAAATATATGGAAAGGTTTGGACTGATATCTGTCATTGTCTAAACATGTTCGCCTGGACATCATCTAACATGTTCTTAGGAGCAAATCCTCTGCCTGGAAATCAGAAACACAGTAAAAGAAACCACTCACATATAATCCAGTCACAAAAACTTTAACGTTAACCAGTGACATCTGATTAATTGTTTTGCCTGTTGTGTTCCTAATTGCACCTCCTGGGTGCTCCAAGCCCTTGATCTTTGGCATGCCTCACCACTCGCCCATGGTGTACCATCAGTTAAACAGTAATGAGAGGGGCATTTCCTGGAGCTAATGACCATCTGTGAGAAGTTGATAGCCCACAGCTATACCACAGGCAGTTATCCCCAATTTATTGTTCATTCCATAGAAGCGTCACATGCCAAGGTCATTATTGATTTTATAAGCAGAATATTAAATCATAAAGGTAGGCCTGTGGATTTTTGTTTTATCTGCAACATGATTTCCATGGCTACCTACAACACATTTCCAGATCAAATATTCCCCTAGGTAAGCTGGACTATTCCTTCCTAGTGCTGTTGAGATGATAGCCTGGTCTTTGATCACCCATCCTATTTTATATTTCCTTTACATTTTTGCTGCTTTATAAATATGCAAAAAGATCTGCCTAACAATAACATTATTCAGAAGAAAAAAATCCATTCTAAGTGAGAGAAATGCCTAACTTTAGAGAATAAGGGAAAAGGGGGGGGTAAGGGAGGTAAGAAGCAGCTGGGTTAAAACTTGAGGAAACTTCCAGCTACACGGAAAATGAAATCCTCTTCAGATGCAAATAAAAGACTCAGATGAGAGTTTCCAATACAAGAAAGGAAAGCAAAGAGCCTCACACGTATATCTGTAGCACAGCATCACATCTGTAATGCCTCCTGGCTGAATGTACACAGCTGGAGAGAACATCTGCGCAGGAGGAGTGTGACAGAGTACGCACACGCAGGAGGGCACAGCCAGCACTCACTGGGCACAACACAGCTCTGCAAGCAGGACCGGCCACACGACACTAACTCCTTCTAAAGATGACTTTTAGGTAAAATGGGTCAAATTCTTCCACATCCCATGCAAGAAGTGTCTCCCAAAGTTTTTACAGCACAAATCTCCCCACTTTTAAATTTGGTGAATACTTTTCAACCATTTCCACTCATGTAACTCAATTGTTAACTCTCTCAGTTACACTATTTTTTCCACCTTTTTTTCTTCTTGCTTTATCCCAGCCCTTCAACCTGTTTTGAAGGCTTGGGACAGAGTTCTTCGACTATGTGCTACCATACAAATTTGGCTTGTTACCCTACACTGAGGCATTTTTCCCATTTGTGAAAGGCTGCAAGAGACACAAAGAAACCCTTGCACATTGTCACAATATTACTTTTAGTAAAACATTACTAATTAAATTTCCTTGGTCAAACATCTCGCTAGTCTTCAATGTCTGTTCAGATAGGTCCCCAAAGGTCTTCCTGGCTGCATCTTCTGTGTAACGTTTATCTGTCATAAAACTTCTCTACTTCTAATTCCTCTCCCTCAAAAAACCAAAAAACAAACAAACAAAAAAACCACCAAACCCCACAAAACAAACCACCACTACCACTTAAAGCTGTGTCCTAATCCCAGGACCAGGAAGTTATTCCAGTTTCAGAGATTAGCACTGCATTTCAGCAAATCTGTCCCTTTCCTTAAAACCTCCTAGTGTGACTATTCTGCTGGAGAATACTGTTACCATAGCAGAGACCTCCTGAATCTCTGTCACACTCCAAGAACATTGTACTAAACGAGGAATCGACATGTTAAAAACTGCAGCATGGAGCTTTTCTCATTCCTTCTGGTGTGACCCTCTGACCAAAAAAACATTTTCTAGTGTATTGGACCTAGATGGGTTGCTTCTGTTCAGAGGAAGAAATGATTGAGAAAATTAGGTGCTTCTCCAGTGCAAGTGTGGGTGAACATAATAGGAACAAACAAGAACAGACAGTTTCTTCATCAGAAATCTTCTGCCCATGGAGCTTCCTTTCTGCTCTGCTCATTTTTAGATCTGTGCTACTACTAACGTCTCTATTCCTGTCTCTCTCATTCGAATAACAGTAGCTAAATCAATGCCCTGGACTATAAGCTTGTTACTAGAAAAAACCCTCTGCTCAAGTAGCAGAAGAATTGCAGCTGCCTACCAACCAAAGACACGATTGCTGGTAGGCACCAGAAAAGCATATTTTCCATAACATGTTTTCTGTAACGTGTTGAAAACATTCAACAGTTAAACTCATTGAATCTATAAAGTTGGTGAACATCTACTTTTCTTTTTGATACTTGGGCTGTAGACCCCCTAAAAAGTGGGCTGTAAGTCCTTAAGAAAAATAAAAGCTAGATTTTCATTCAAAATATTCCACCACTGCTAGATGTGATTTTTTTTTTTTTTTTTTTTCAGTTTTTGTGGAGAGTATAACTATAAAGCATGTGGAAGTATGGGAACTTCTTGCCCTTCTTTCTTGCCTTTTTTTTTTTTAAAGAAATATTGATTTCTTTTCATTGCATTTTAATATGATATGTACCAGTAAGTTGCTATAAAGCTTCTTCATTTCATCACATCTTTTTGACAGCTGGGATAGATCCCCTTCATATTTCTGAATTAAATCCTGTAATAAAATAAAACTTCTTAATTTGGTATAGGAGCATAATATTAAAGCAGAAATTAAACAGCAGTGAAAACAAGATAATTCAAGTCAAAATTTTCATGTCACAAAAATTTCACATTTCACAAAAGATAAGCATACATCAGGCGCACACATTTTCTTGCAAGTATTAAGACAAAGACAAAAAAAAGAAACATCAATGTTAGAGAATTTTTTACTTTAGCATCCAATGACACTACCTAAATCTATTAGAATTTACAGAACTAGATGAGCATCACAGGGCCCTAATTTCCACCCATGTTTGGCATAGTCTAGCCTTTTTGCATGTGAAGTAAATACTCCCAGTTGCTAGTTTTTAAGGGGTCAGAAACAAGGCCTTAGAAATTTAACTTTTGAAATAAAATTTCTTAATCACAGTTCTTTTGTAATGTATGCATTTATATATATGTATATACATACAAAGGACAACTTAATCTGTATTGAAGAAGCACAGCGTTGTGCTGTTCCAAGGGAGAAGGAAACGTATGGGTTTAACAGATGCCGACACTACGCAGTGAAGCACAGCACGAAGATATCCAGGACAGCAGAGATGAACATGTCCCCCCACGGCAGCGGGGAAAGCCCTCACTGGAAGTAGCACCATTCATAACTAGCACAACAGTGCTCTTGAGAGTTAATCGAGTTCTTTGCCCCTTGTGTTTGGCTCTGCTGACTCCTGGCCAGAACTGGGCTCCCTCCAGCCTGCTCAGCCGCCTCTCCATTGTGACCTCCAGCCCATCTCGTTCTGCCACTAGCATGGGCGGAATCATCTTAGATCAACCTATACTCACAACATATGCATGCCCTTGGATGACGTTTCTCTATGCTATTTTCCCTTCTGTCTAAGGGCAGAGGAAGTTATTACAAATTCATATATGCTCTAAAATTGGTAGTATTGCAAAGTGCTTATTGTGGGCAACAGTGGGGCTACCTGTTCCTCATCCGCTCCAGCCCATTTGCCTGTGAAGCAAAAGCAGGAGACGCAGAAACTCTGAAAAGCCTTTCCCATGCTGCAGCTTATGGTACGAGGCACTATCAGAGGGGAATAAAAGGCCACTTTCCCTCAAATGCTCCTGACCTCCTTGCCAGGGCAGGGCTCAGCAAAAACTAAGCAGATTACTCATCTTTTACCTCCAGCCCACAATACCGTTGTGATAACGTTACCTTTAGTTCCTTGCAGAACTGTGACTCCTGGGGTGTTGCCTTGATTGTCTTGGGTTTAATAAGCCGCCTGCACTGAATAACATTTTCCAATTCTTTTTTTAAAACTAACAAAAGAGAAAAAAAGTGAGAAATCTCACTAGCATGCAGTTGTGTCCAAAGGACTGCAAATGTCTAATTTAGGACACATGGAAAATTTAGGAGAATATGGGTCTATAACATGTTCATCTAGGAATATTAACTTTCTGTTTTGAAATAGAAATCCTAAAAGAGGCATGGGTCTTATGGAAAAAAGTAGTATGTGATCACTTCACAAGCAACTGCAGAATAATGAAGAGGTCGAGAGTATGGTCACGCAGCAGCTGTGAATTTGACCTTTCCTAGTTTTGAGCATTGGGATTAGCAATGAAAATAACATTCTTCAAACCTACATTTTTGTGTAGAAAGTTCAGGCTTCCTTTAAAGATAAAAGAACAAAAATTCTACCCTATGTAACAGTAAAAAATCTTGTCAGTTGGCACTAAGCACTACATCAGACTGCTACTGTGGGACCTCTCATGGTGTGAAATGGGGGGAGAAGAGGATACAGCCTTGGCTCCAGGGGCTCAGTCCTGAACTGACCCAGGCTGCAGTTGAGCATCTTCCTCCCCTTGTGCTCGTGCAATGCTTGCCGCAGGTGAGCCCCAGGAGCTGCCTTGAACTACATGG